ATCAAGATAGTTTTGCAAAACGTTTGCTAGCGAAACGACGTTCGTTTTTTTATGAATACTCAAGTTTCTGTATTGCAGATTATTCTTAAGTTACTTTATATTCATTGTAAAAAAAATTGCTTCATTCTTTGCTAATTACTGCACAAAATTACACATTGGGTACTATCCACTACGGGAATCGCACTCCGGATGTTCATGTTGTAAGTCTGTAAACTTACGCCACTCCACATGAGTTTTTATTTGTTTATTTGGTGTCAGTCAAAAGCTACACAATGAGTTGTCTGTACTCAGTCCATTGTTAGCGTCATAAGACCTCAGACCACCCGGGGACAAAATTACTTAACACAATTTACATCTAACTTATACGCGTGTACTTAAATACTGATCTATTGTGAAAACTTCTCAAATAATAAATATTTGTTGAATTGTGGGCAGGTTGCTCAGTTATCCATTTGAAGGCTTGGAACCAAGTGTGAGAAAAAGTAAAACTTTTACCACTTTGACTTATATCTTGTCTATAAAGTAAGACTTTTACCACTTTGACTTATATCTTGTCTATAAAGTAAGACTTTTACCACTTTGACTTATATCTTGTCTATAAAGTAAGGCTTTTACCACTTTGACTTATATCTCGTCTATAAGGTAAGACTTTTACCACTTTGACTTATATCTCGTCTATAAAGTAAGACTTTTACCACTTTGACTTATATTTCGTCTATAAGGTAAGACTTTTACCACTTTGACTTATATCTCGTCTATTCGAAGTATAATGATATATTTATTATGTTTTAATTAATTATATTTGTTATAAGACATTAGTATTAGATCTATTATATATTTAAACACCACATTTAAATCTTGTCCTTTAGGGATTTTAAGGAATTAGAAGAGTGTATAATAATAGTATTCAAACGACATTATACTTGTTATATTCAATGCGATTCGCTCAATTCATTGGGATACATCAAACACAGCAGTGGTAGGGAATACTATTTATATAAGCCATTTGATACAATAACAATTGTTATGGTATTTACGCCTTTTACAAGCTGGCGATTCGTATCCCCGTCCCACCAAACATGCTCGCCCTTTCAGCCGTGGGGGCGTTATAATGTGACGGTCAATCCCACCATTCGTGTAAATTTACAAACAACACATAAAATACCAATTTTGAATATACACCACTTCACAATGAATACAATGTTCAGGTATATATTTATATTATATGTACGCTTGAAACAACGCGTTTTCGTGTAGCTGTGCGCGAAATTCAAAAAAACAAAACAAAAAACAAACAAGCTGGCGAAGAATGATTACACTTACACTTGTCACAATATTAGTATTAGGCCTATTACATCTTTTTAAATGGAGTATTCTTATTTTAGGCCGTTAGGGATTTTCAATAATTACAATTATAATAATAATTATAATTATTCATTGCATTCCAACTACATTATACTTGTCATATCCCTTGCCGACGACGCATTTCACTCAATTTAGAGCTCCTCAGGTTGGGTTTTGAAAAAAAACAACTAAGGGACTAGATTAAGAATCTAATGTTAAAAAGTATAAAAGGCCTAATACTAACGTCATATGACAAATATAATTTTAATGATTTTTCGCCGACTTGTAAAAACCGCACAATCATTGATGTTGTCAGTTTTAATCCTTCAGGACTATCTTCCATCCTTAGTTTTTAATTTAAGTTATACAAATTGTTTTCGTCTTACTTAGTATACCAGAAACGTGATTTTAATAAGTGGATTTTGTCTTCCTTTTTTACTTATAGAAAACCTTTGTTTTACTCTAGTTGCTACAATATGGAATTATCTAATTTGCTTCAAGTTTATAGTTTTATTCATTTTAAAATGAATTCAGTAATCATAGAAGTTAAAACGAAAACGCTACTTTAAAACAGTGAAATATACTTCCCATCTCTATAACTGTTATTTTCATACATAATTCTCTACTTAATGTTTCTTTTCACATGTGGCGTATGTATTGTAAAACGAGATATATTTACATCTCAAGTACCAGCAGACATAACTGTGTAAATTTACAAACAACACATAAAATACCAATTTTGAATATACACCACTTCAAAATAAATACAATGTTCAGGTATATATTTATATTATATGTACGCTTGAAACAACGCGTTTTCTAGTATGATTTATATTTCTGTTTATCGAACGTTAATTATACTATTTTCAAGCCGTTTATTAAACTCCACACTTACTCACTTAGGCAAACTTTCTAATATTTGTTTTAGATTTGTTTAGGAAATTGCTATCGGTTTTAAGGAACCATTAACGCGGAAGGTAATCACAAGTTTAGTTATTTATCTTACATGATCAATAGCGAATGAACAACGAAAATTATCATAATTCACACAAACTTATATTTGTTCTTGCAAACAGACAATTCATCGACCAGTTAACTGTGCCTTCAAGTCTCAAATTAATGAGTTCTGCGTTAATCAACTTGTTACGATTTAGCTCACCTGGATATGCCTAAAAGTTAATTTCACTGGTAGGTTTAGGTTTTGGGTTCCGTATTGATTCAGTGATGCCGATAGCACGCGAGAGTTGATCACAAGGGATTTGGGTTTATCCACAATCTCTACTACTGATCGTTGGTTGGGTATTGTAAGCAAGTCTTCAAGCTCATTGTAGGCAACAAAAACCACACGAATAATCCCTATACCAGAAAAAATGAGACAGAAAAAAATATTGTGTCACAGATAATACCCAAATAGATGGACTAAAGCTATTCAAAAGTCCAACTAAAAAAAAAAGAATTATAGACGAACATAATGAAACTTATAGGTAATTCTCTTAAGGAATCATGTTAGTTATAACATGGATTACATGCTCGCAATAATGCCGTGTGCATGAAAACTACAAAAAACTTTGATCCTTGAAATTAACTTCACTTGCCAAATTTCTGACTCAGATTTAACACGCTGTCTCGCGCCTTTAGCAGAAATGTAATCAGGTAAACTTACTCTAAAATTAAAACACAGAGGTTGAGTACGTTATATTAGAATTCTGGGGTCTCCCTACATCATTGAAGTACATGTCATCACGTCCGGTTATGTTGTATCGATAGCTATGCATTTTGATAATAATTCTGCAGTGCAATTTCTATGCAAAAAGCTTCGTCATAAGGTTTGTCATGTACAACATCACTCTTCCCGGCAGGCTTTCCATGATCCATCTAGTGTAGGAGGACGATGGTTTCTCATCGCCCATTTCAATGGTCTGATCACACAGAAATCCATGGGCGCTGGATCCGAAGACTTGACCTGTATGTTTTCGTATGGAATAGCTTGAATAACCGTTTAACTCTTCAGTTGAATGAGATATGTAACAGTTAAACAGATGTGTTATAGAAGCAATGTGTACTCATGACCAAGATATTTCTTGATTATATTGTACACTTTTACCTGGGGTATGTGGACGGCTTTTGTCACTGACCTTTGTGTTTGTGGGTTCTCACCGGTTACAAGACGCCACAATTTGATTACAACAGCTTAGGTACGACTTGTTACTGGATTGTCGATCCACGTTCTTATGTTTTCCAATGCCATTAAGTACAATGGATGTTCTCATCTCGTAGATTTTAAATCTTTGATCTCAACACATCAGTATCAGCTGAGTGTATAAATATTTTGCGTCAGAAAGAACTGTTACACGCCTTAGCAATCGGTTTTTTGTGGCATCACACAACCTACGAAATGCCAAACAATATCAAAATATAGTTCTGATACATCCGTTCCATCACGACGTTATGTTGGCTGTGTGTCAGATGACTTGCTGAGTTGCATATATAAAATAATTTTTAAATAAAGTACTCAACCCTTTGTATATGATAAGCTGAAAGAGAAGATTCATGAAAATGTTTAAAGATTTTCTTAGTTGATTGCATTATCATAACATATAAAGAATACGTAGTAAACATATAAAAATTCTTAAACGTCATGTAAAATAACAGTTATTAGTTTTACATTAATACTTATAGGCACAAACTGAGTTTGAATATAAACTCATACGTGGTGGGAGAACCATATAATTTCTCTTTGCCAGTTGACACACGTGTATAAAAACATATGTGGAAATTATTCCCGAAAAAAGACCATAGGACATCTTTAAACAGTATTTACTTATCACGTGAAATCCTTAGGAATTTTATATATAAGTGTGAGTTTGATGTCAGAGCTTGTTCGTTCACTGATCGATTAGCATGATTGCTTTTGCTAACAGGTTTTCTCCTTTATTTGATTATTTATAAATGCGTTCTTTATATGTTTTATAAACTTGTACCAAATGACGAAGCTGTAGGATTTATAGTTTTCACACCACTGTATATTTTTACCCAAATATATTTTTTGTCGCTTTCCAGTTTCAAATACAGAAGTATTTAATTACAAACCGTTTCTAGATCGATCAAGTAAAGCTAGAATCGGAAGCTCTATCATGTCTTCCACTTGAGTCCAAAAAAATCAGTTTTGTCATCCAGGCTTGGAAATCGAACCTTTGACGTCGACCAAGTGTAAACTTGGTGAACTGAGCCAACTGTAAAATATCAATATGACAAAAGCTTGGTTACTACACTGGTATAAGTGAAGTTATCAAGTTTTGCGACAAAAGAATCACGACGCATGAAACGCGTTGCTACGTCATAATCGATAAATTGTCTTCTTGTTTACATTATGTTGCTACATCATTATCGAACAATTATCGTTTTGTTTGCATTCTTTTTAACAAATCAGTTTTTAACTCGTCGCTACGATATAATCAAATAGGTGTCTTTTTGTTTATATTCTGTTGCTACGTCATAATCGATAAATTGTCTTCTTGTTTACATTATGTTGCTACATCATTATCGAACAATTATCGTTTTGTTTGCATTTATTTTAACAAATCAGTTTTTAACTCGTCGCTACGATATAATCAAATTAGTGTCTTTTTGTTTATATTCTGTTGCTACGTCATAATCGTGCCCCCCCCCAGTAGCACAGCGGTATGTCTGCGGACTTACAACGCTAGAAACCGGGTTTCGATACCCGTGGTGGGCAGAGCACAGATAGCCCATTGTGTAGCTTTGTGCATAATTACAAACAAACGTCATAATCGATAAATTGTCTTCTTGTTTATATTCTGTTGCTACATCATAATCGAACAGTTATAATTTTGTTTGATTTCTTTATAACAAATCAGTTTTTTAATTCATTCCTACGACATAATCAAACAAGTGGCTTTTTGTTTACATCCTGCTACTACGTCATAATCGAACAATTATCGTTTTGTTTGCATTCTGTTTAACAAAGAAACTTTTGAACTCGTCGCGGATTCGAATCCCCGTCCCATCAAACATGCTCGCCCTTTCATCCGTGGGGGCGTTATATGTGTCGGTTAATCCCACTATTCGTTGGTAAAAGAGTAGCCCAAGAGTTGGCGATGGGTGGTGATGACTAGCTGCCTTCCCTCTAGTCTTACACTGCTAAATTAGGGACGGCTAGCGCAGATAGCCTTCGTGTAGCTTTGCGCGAAATGCAAAAACAAACAATCATTGATACGTCACAATCGAACAATTGTCGTTTTGAATTAAATATTAGAAAATATTTTAAAATTTACACTAGTTTTTTTATCGGTTGTACGTATTAAAACCTTTGTTCATTTAATTCTCAACGTTTCATCAGGTTTACCTGACATCATCAGGTGAGATACAAGAATTGAAATTAACAGTTAGCCTCAGTTTTTGTATCCCACCTAATGATGCCAGGTAAACCTTGTGAAACGTTTTGAATAAAAAGGTTTTAATGCGTACAACCGATAAAAAACTAGTGTGAATTGTCGTTTTTTTTTTGCATTCTATTTAACAAAGCAAATTTTATTTTGATCTATTTTTCTAAGTAAATTATAAAAATCCTACAATTCATTATCTTTAACACATATATTAAACAAAGAATAAATGATACACATCTTTTTAAATGGTGTAAATATTTATAAAAATATATAAAATTAACTGTTTAATGATTCTACACTCATTCTCCATTTTGTATGTTTTGTCAAAAACCACTAATGAGAATATTGCGTGACTTTCAAGTTTCTCTTTTTTACGTGTTGAAAATATGCGTAGTAGTTAAGTAAAAAAACAAAAACAAATGGAACTTTTAAAGAACAAGTCAATAGATAATAAACTAAACACTTTTCTGATTAAGTATGTGACATTTTGAACATACATTTTCTTTCTGTATCTTTGGAGTATACATATACAGTATGTATATATGATTTATGTTTCAATAGACATCTGTTCATTTTCCCCAAATTATTTGTTTCTTCTATTTTCCTCTTTCAGAGTCGTACATTTTAGGGAAAATATCAGGTATATTGTTCGTACGATAAGACATTAAAATAGATTGTCTATACGTACAAACGTTGTTCTGAGCTCGTTGTAGTTGGTCCATTAAAATAGATTGTCTATACGTACAAACGTTGTTCTGAGCTCGTTGTAGTTGGTCCATGAATGGAGCGGAATTTGCTAAGATCCATGTGATTATCTCTAAAGATTCCGTCAGCGAAGATACCGTTATGCGCTTCGTTGGTTCTGGTAAGTCCAGCCAGGAGTCGCGTCGCACATCTCCAATTAAGTTTGCTGGTAGCTTCTAACAAATTGTAAAAATATAACATAAAAATATTTGATAATATGTTCAAAATATCATTAAAGGTTTAAGGAATATTAATGTTAACTAGAATCCTTTATATTTTTATTATAATAACATAACAATAATCGTTTAGAAATGTTTTTTATTTTTTATTTAAAAAAAGTACCTGAAATACTCCTTGCACAGTCTTGTAACGATGGCTCTCGTCCTTTGCTTTTAAGGACCATATTATTTAATTTGTCTACAAGTCTTTGCACTACAATCGTCGATTGTCGGACGTCTCCACCATACATCGGCTTTGTTCGGATTGATTCGGCTAAATCCGCTGCTATCCGTATCATAGATTTTTCTACTTCAATCTGCAACAATAGAGACATCAATGTATTATCTAGGTACAATGTACTCGCCCCCCAGTGATACAGCGGTATGTATGTGTACTTCCACGCTAGAAATCGGGTTTCGATACCCGTGGTGGGCAGAGCACAGATAGCCCTTGTGTAGCTTTGTGCTTAATCTCAAACAAACGAAATAAGATAAGTGAAAATTGTTTATGTGTATAGAATCATATTAAATAAATAAAATGTTTGCCTAAAAATCAATTCTGTATACTGTTTATGGCCTAGATACATACATACACTGCTCCGAAAATACTTTTTTTTTGTACAAAGTCTAACATAGTAATATTTACCAAGACCAGTTACTCTGTCCAAGTTATTAAAACCTTTCACTACTGGTTTAAACTGCATGTCTTTAACCTTCTTTTTCAGTTTCGGCAGTGTTATCGGTCAGTAAAATGACATTTAGCAAGAGCAAAAAAATGAAAACATGCGGAAATGAAGCTACTTTTAGGATATCTTGTACTTAAACGTGTTTTGTCAATATCTTCTCGTACCATGTGTCGCATCTCTTGGTATATATATCTTCTCGTACCATGTGTCGCATCTCTTGGTATATATCTTCTCGTACCATGTGTCGCATCTCTTGGTATATATCTTCTCGTACCATGTGTCGCATCTCTTGGTATAGACTTTCCAAGAGACTGAAGCTTCTAGGTTTAGATTAGGTCTAATATTATGTTACAGTAATTGCGTAAAAATTATTATCAATTCTAAATACTGTCATGTCTTAGTTAAATATACCAAAAGATGCGACACATGGTACGAGAAGATACATATATATATATATAATACTTCCACAAATCGTATTATCCAGTCTATGTGCGAAACCAATATTTAGTTCTTTAAATAATAATAGAACTCTTCTAACTGGATAAATGATGAGAACCAAAAACCCCATCTGTAATACGCGTTTTTTCGGGATGCGAAGCCTTCTAAGTATTGGTTTTTACTCTATCTTGCTATTTTTTCACTTGTATGGCCAATGTGATGTGTATTATGGTTTATGTACTAACTCTGTGGTCAAGATCATCCATCCATAAAAACGACAAGCACTCAGGTCTGGCCTGGATGTCCATTGTACAGGATTTATATCACAGAGCCATCTTGCGTACCCTGAAAATATTGAAAAATGTCAATATTCATCAATTATTTTCTGTGAAACAAAATTATCCGTCCAGATCATATAGAATATTCTCATTTCTTGAAAGTTTGTAAAGCATTTATATTAAAATATGCTAAAGTAAACTAAGAAATTTAAATTACTTCGCGAATATTTAGCAAAATAACAAATTCAATGATACGAGAACTAATGCAGCGACACTTTCTGTGGCTCAACGGTAAGCTTGAGGCCTATACCGTTAAAATGTTGATGCGATCATTGCATTGGGCACATCACAGATACCACATTGTGCAGCCTTGCCCTTGTCAACAACCAAACAAATAATACAAAGTTAGCTTTTATCATATGTGTTCACAGTCAAAACATTCAACGTCCAAAGTTGTGAGAGAAACCATATTTGAAAACTCGTTCTAACCACACTTCACACATCTCGCTTTAACCACACTTCTAGACTTTTGCATTTACCAGAACTAAACCATTCGTTTGCTAGTAGTTTTGTGTAGAACACACCTCTGTCATTCTGATAGCATTATATAAATATGCATATATATACACAATAATCATGGTCCCTCTGCCAAGATGGTATACTGGAGAAGATGCGCAAAGTCGAAATACAACCCTTTCTTAGTTTAAGTGTAATTTTTTATCTATCTTTTAACTAAAAAAAAGTAGAACATCTGCACGAAAATGGAAAAATGAAAAACGAAAGACAGGGAGAAATGTATTCAACACATAGTAACAGCAGGAGCTCTAAGTAACTAACTGTCTCAAGAACAAAGGTACATGTCGCCACCAGAGTCTACCCACACACACACTAGACGTTAGGTTAACAGTGTTTAGTTCTGTTCCATTTACAATGCAGGAAGAGTTGAGTATACAAAATTACCGCACAAAACACCAAATTTAGTGAGGGGCAAGTCTTTCAAACTTATTAGTGAGAACATGTCATTATTACATTTATGGATATACGTATTCCTTATCAACAATTGACCAAAATCTATTGGAAATACATTATGCCAAATGCGTAAAAAATATATACTGTGAGGAAATAACTCAATAAATGGACACGCGACAAATTTTAATCTTCCCTGATGTTGCTGAAGAAAACCCCTTAGTCGTAAACGTTTTATGACGAGGACGAGACGGTGGCGTAATCTTGAATGTTTCCACTATCGGTGGCGGAGACATGAAAAAAGGCACATTGTGATGCAATGATGGTACTGTAGTAGTTGATGTTGGTGAGGAACTAGGAAGAGTTGAGACAGAGCTGGTCCATGACATTGCAAGATTAGTTCTTGGTGTCGAAGGAGAAAAAGTGATGGGAG